GTATGTACATATGTGCACATATACAGGTGTGTATGTACATATGTGCACATATACAGGTGTGTATAGTAACTATGTGTCACATATACAGGTGTGTTATGTACATCTGTCACATATCCAGGTTTGTATACATAGTCACATATTACAGTGTGTAATGTACATATGGCACAATAACAGGTATGTATGTACATATGTGCACATATACAGGTGTGTATGCACATGTGTATTTATGAGAAGAACTGTATTTTCATACCTGTAATGGTTTGCGAGGCAACTTGCTGTCTTAGCTGCATCAGCATGGAAGATCCTTGTTCTGATTCTCCTTCAATGTCAACATCAACATCCTCTGCTTCATCAGCTTCACTACTGGTTAACCGCCCTTCATTCCCCGGATTTGACGTGCTTTGATTCACCGTATGAGCTTCATCTTTTTCTTTAACAGCCATTGGATCTGTGGCACTAGTTTTATCATCTCTTTGCACATGATCCTTCATAGACTGGGGTGTGTCTTTACCTGCATCTACAGCAGCAGACTGTTGACTGGAACTTTCTTCTGGTTTCCTGGGAGAAGTTTCAGCTTCCATTTTGCTGATAACTGTACCAGTCTGGGAATGACTAACAGATGGTATTGGTAATTCATAAGAATCTAAAGTTTTACAACTCTGAACACCTGATTCAACAGTTGTAAGCTCTCCTTCTGCTACTGTATTCTGACTCTTTGAATCTGTACTTGAAGTCACACCCAATGATTTTGATGGGGAAAGGGGATCATCTTTTGCTCCTTTACTGTAAGTTACTACAACTGGTGATTGTGGTTGAGATACTGGCTTCTGCTGAGTTGTTGATTTCGATTCCATCTCCGGAGTGCTGTGACCAAGGCAAATAAAGTCTCCACTTGCAGTACAACTGCAACCAGCACCGTCTTGTGTAGCAGTATTTCCTTTCTTTGAGCTCTCTTGTGATTTTTTAGGATGGTTTCCCTTCTCAGGGGACTGGATAAGCATGTTCTCTGACACATAGTTAGATTCTCTCATCTTTTGAAGTAAGACTTTTTCTCCTATACCAATCATTTCTCCACAATGTCCTCTCTTTTTGGATGCTAATTTGACAAGATACTCTCCAGTGGCATCATAAGTATATGAGGAAAGCTCTCCTGTGGCTTCCCGGATAAAATACTTGACCGCATTTCCATGGAATAGCATATTATCTGTTGTGGATGCTGAGCTCAATACAGCAGATATAATGGATCCTAGAATGAGAATGGGTAAAGGTTGCTTGTTATCTGAAAGACCTGTCCTTGCTAACCCATATAACATTGATGTTGAGCTTCCATTCTTTACACTTAAGGTAACAGGGGACTGAGTTTTCTGTGACATTCTGAAGATATTGACAAGTACATTTTTTCGGATTGTTCCAAGAAGCCATTCCAACTTCACACTTTTAAAACTGAGAGACAAATCAACTGCACTCCAATGATAACCCATCTTTTTTATAGGAACAGGACGACTTTCTAACTCTTGGACTTCAGATGTATTTTTTAGATATGTTTGAGAATGAGTCTTTGAACTACATTTTTGAGATAATGATTTATCTTTGTTGTCATGTGCCACTTCTTTTTTATGGATGGGATCGGATTTATCCTTTCTGTCCTGGCTTTGACCTGACACGTCTTTTTTCATGTGTGTAACATCAGAGCCATCAAGGGGATATTCAGCGTTCTTCAGCATGTCTTTATGCGTGTTCTGAAGTAATGCATTAAGTTGGTTTTCATTAAGGGATGTTTTAACTATTACCATATCTTCTGTTTCTTTTAACTGCTTACTACAATCTTTTACAGGTGGCTTGTTACCTGCAGGAACAATAATATCACAATCTTGTGCTTGGGAAATCTGAGGTAGTGTGCTTGAGATAGTGGAAACTGAGGAAACCACTGTTGTCTGTGCAGTTCCACCACCAGAGACTACTGATGTAGTGGATGGTACAATCATTACAGACGGTGCAGTAGAAATCCCTGCTAACTGTGAAACTTCTGGTTCTGATGTTTTAACTCTTGTTATAGTAAGAGTATTTGAAGCTGTCCCAATGACTACTACATCATCAGAATCATCACTGTTCTCAGGTTTTTGAGCTGCTGTTTCTTCAACTACCTCTGGTAGAGCAGATGTACCTTGCAGCTTATTACTCACTACATTTTCAGTAAGATTAACCTCAGGAACATTTGTGGGTATGGATGGGATGCTGACAGACTTATTGTCCAAAGATCCAGCAAAGTTCAGTCCCTGAGAAGGTGGAAGTAAAATGAACTTCTTCTCTGTTTCTACAGTTTTTTCTGAGGCAGCAGCAAGAGGCAATGCTGTTACATTAGTGTCTATGCTGTGAGAAGGGAGGATTACCATTTTCCCTCTATCTCCTGCTGAAGGAACAATTACCATCTTCATCTTACTACCCTCCTGTACAACACCTGAAGATGGCGTTTTATTGGGAGGTGACATGAATAACATTT